TTTTTAAGAGACAGGGTCTTGCTATGTTGCCCAGGCTGGTCTCGAACTCCAGAGCTCAAGTGATCTTCCCATCTCAACCTCCCAAAGTGCTGGGAATACAGGCATGAGCCACTGCATCAGGCCAGGAAACAATTGTTGAACAAGTCATCGGAGGGAGGAGTGAGTCACTGGGGGCTGGGGAAAGAGGGAGGGGTACTGGAAACAGGGGGACGGTGCTGACCTTCCAGCTGCACATCTGCCAGCCGCTCTGCAGGGCGGAAAACATGAGTGTGGAGACAGACTTGACGGCCATCCTGGGCAGCCGCAGCAGGGATTGGCCCTGTTGGCCCAGCTCCGCCTCGGTCCCCTCTGTGGTCTTGGCCAACATGCAGGCATCTGGCAGCTCAGGGGACTCACCCAACTCAAGCTTAGCCTCTTTGAGGGGCTCGACCAACCTCAAAGTCTCAGACACCTGCAGAGTCTTCACTTTTTTCAATGAGTGTTTCTTGGAGGCAGGGTGTTCTAACATCATTGGTTTCATTTTCTGTCTCCAGAAGAAAACCTGAGAACCAAGACACAGAGAGGAGAGACAGGAGAGAGGGGCGGGGCAGAAAACACCATCCACAGAAGAAAAGGCACAAAAGGGATGGAGCAGTGAGTTTCCTGGCCTCTCTTTCTTCTCCTCCAGTTCCTCCCCAGCTGTCCTTTCCCTCCTCTCCACCCCGTCTTGTTTGGCCATAGGAGGCCAGAAAGGGAGGGAGCCCATGCTGTAAGGGCTGCCCAAGACCCATGCCCTCGTCCCAGTGCATCACAAGGACAGAGCAGTCTCGGAAACTCACCCAGCTAGTAATCCTTTGCCAAGCCCGTCTAACCCATCGGAAGAACCTCATGACCACAACCATCTTTCTCGACAGGATAAACACAGTCGAGGGGGCAAAGCCAGCATTTGGTACGGTGGGGGTGGCGGGTGGAGGACAGGGTGGGCTTCGGGCCAGTGACCACCTCTTGAGGGGTCCCCTGGGAGCTTCAAGCACAGCAGTAAAGAAAGACGTAGGAAATACTGGGGGACAGTCCCTCCCGGTGACACATCCCAGACCTTTCCTCCTCTCCCTGGGACAGGGAGAGGAGTTGAAGTAGGTGAGAACCTACAGTGAGGGAGAGTTCTAGACCATTGTGAGGCTGCCTGGCCCTGACCCCAACCCCCAAGGTCCTGGAGAGTCCATCTCTTCCACCCTGGCCCTCCTTCGCTCACATCCAGGGAAAAGAAACTAACATGTAACAAACTAACAGGCACTGTCCCTGCATGGAGTCATGCAGTCCCTGCACAGCAGCCCTTCAAGGAAGATATTACTGTTAGTGCCACTTCCTCAAAGAGGAATCTGAAATTCAGAAAAGCTAAAGGGGGCTGGGCATGGTGGCTCGTGCCAGAAATCCCAGTGTTTTGGGAGGCTGAAGCAGGAGGATCACCTGAGGCCAGGAGTTTAAGACCAGCTTAGGCAACACAGTGGGACCCCCGATTCACTATGTTTAAGTTAAAAAATTTTTTTTTTTTTTTTTTTTTTGAGACGGAGTTTCGCTGTTGTTACCCAGGCTGGAGTGCAATGGCGCGATCTCGGCTCACCGCAACCTCCGCCTCCCGGGTTCAGGTAATTCTCCTGCCTCAGCCTCCTGAGTCGCTGGGATTACAGGCATGCGCCACCACGCCCAGCTAATTTTTTGTATTTTTAGTAGAGACGGGGTTTCACCATGTTGACCAGGATGGTCTCGATCTCTTGACCTTGTGATCCACCCGCCTCGGCCTCCCAAAGTGCTGGGATTACAGGCTTGAGCCACCGCGCCCGGCTACCTTTTTTTTTTTTTTTTTTTTAATTAGCCAGGAGTGATAGTATGTGTCTCCAGTCCCAGCTACTCAGGAGGATGAGGCAGGACTGCTTGAGCCCAGGAGGTGGAGGCTGCTGCGAGCCATGATTTCACCACTGTACTCCAGCCTAAGTAATAGAATAAGACTGTGACCGTGTCTCAAAAAACCAAAAAAAAAGAAAGAAAGAAGAAGGAAGGAAGGAGGGAAGGAGGGAGGGAGGGAGGGAAGGGAAAGGAAGGGAAGAGAAGGGAAGGGAAGGAGGAAGAGAGAGAGACAGAGGAAGGAAGGAAGGAGAGAAAGGAAGAGAGAGAAAGAAGGAAAAAATAAAAAGAAGGAAGGAAGGAAGGAAGGAAGGAAAGGAGGGAGGAAGGAAGGAAGAGAGGGAGGGAGGGAGGGAAAAAACTTAAGGAGGCTAAGTGTGATAGCTCACACCTGTAATCCCAGAACTTTGGGACGCCAAGGTGGGAGAATTACTTGAAGCCAGGAGTTTGAGATCAGCCTGGGCAATATAGCAAGATTGCTCCTACAAAAATATTTAGGCTGGGCATGGTGGCGCATGTCTGTAATCTCAGTACTTTAGGAGGCTGAGGTGGGCAGATCACTTGAGTTCAGAAGTTCAAGACCAGCCTGGCTAACATGGCAAAATCCCATCTCTACTAAAAGTACATCAAAAAAAGGCGGGGTGTGATGGCTCATACCTGTAATCCCAGCGCTTTGAGAGGCAGAGGTGGGTGGATCACGAGGTCAGGAGTTCAAGACCAGCCTGGCCAAGATGGTGAAACCCCCGTCTCTACTAAAAATACAAAAATTAGCCGGGTGTGGTGGCAGGTGCCTGTAATCCTGTGGTGGCTACTTGGGAGGCTTAGGCAGGAGAATTTCTTGAACTTGGGAGGCGGAGATTACAGTGAGCCGAGATCGTGTCACTGAACTCTAGCCTGAGAGTCAGAGCAAGACTCTGTCTAAAAAGAAAAAAGAAAAAAAAATAATTAGCCGGGCGTGGCGGCACACACGTGTAGTCCCAGCTACTCAGGAGTCTGAGACATGAAAATCACTTGAACCTGGGAGGCAGAGGTTGCCGTGAACTGAGATCTCACTACTGCACTCCAGCCTGGGCGACAAAAGCGAAACACCATCTCAAATACATACATACATACATATAGCTGGGTGTAGTGGCACATGCCTGTAGTCTCAGCTACTTGGAAGGCTGAAGTGGGAGGATCACTTGAGCCCAGGAGTTGAAGACTGCAGTAATATATGATCGCACCACCGCACCCCAGCCTGGGCAACATAGCAAGACCCCATCTCTACAAAAATAAAGAAAAATAGCTGAATGTGGTGGTGCGCACCTATAGTTCAGGGAGGCCAAGGCAGGAGGATCACCTGAGCCAGGGAGATGGAGGCTGCAGGGAGCTGTGACTGTGTTGCTGCACTCTGGGCAACAGAGCAAGACCCTGTCTCAAAAAAGAAAGAAGAAATTTAAAAAAAAACAAAAAGAAAAACCAAAGAAGTTGCCAAAAGTTATGAACCTAGGGAAACTAAGGAGGCAGAGAGTCAGGGACTCCAAGGCAGGTCAGCCTCCAAGGACCTGGCTTCACAGCTTCCTTCTAGCCAGGGCCCCTTCTGCTCCCAGGGCCCCCCTGGGGCTTTGGCCGCAGCTCTTCCCTCTTCCCCGCTAGAGGGGGTCCTTCTCCATCGCTGCTGACTCACCTGGGACTGGAGCCCAGGCTGTCAGGGAGGGGCCAGCTCACCCACAGGGCCCATCCTCAGCCGGCCGGGGGTGGGAGCCACGGCGGCTGGCCAGGCCTGGCAAGGGCACCGTGTGCCCAGGGAGCCTGGCCCACACCCAGCCCTGAGACAAGGGGCCCATTCAGGGCCCCCCGCCCCACCCCCAAACAGCCACCCAGATCCAGCCCGCAGAGGGGACACACTGGGAAGCTGGGGGGGTGGATCTTGGGCAACCACCAAAGGCCTCATTGTTTCCCGGCTGCCCCCCCCAGCATGTGGGCAGATGCCCCCCCACCCCCAATCTTCGCCTGCCCCTTCCCAGGACCCGAACCGCTGGCTCCCTTCTCTGGCCTCTGTCTCGACCCCTCCATCTCCCACACTTTAAACTTCCCCAGTCTGCAAAAGGAAAGATCTCAGGGGAGCCTGAAGTGGCAGGCGCGAACCTCGAGTCTGGGCACAAGCGAAGAACGAGATGTCAACCTCCAAATTCAAGTTTCTTCAGAGTTTTTAATTATTATTATTACTTTAATAACAACCTGAATCCCAGAACTTCCAGATACTGTCCACACTCCCTCCCCTGGGCAGAGGAGAGGGGGCACCTCGAGGGAACAAAGTGGGGGTGGGATGTCTGCCGGGGAGCCTCCTACTCCCCCAGGCTGTCTACTGCTGGGGGTCCCACGAGGGAGGGTGGGGGCTGGGCTCCCTCCCAGAGGGGGGTCCCTCTGACACCCCGTTCTGAAGCCCTCCCTCCTCCATCAAGGCTGGGGACATTGAGGAGATGGGGCAGGGGCGGGGGGGGGACCAGGCCAATGCTGAGCCTTGAACTCCCACCCTGGGGACATGGGGACATTAAAGCTGCATAGGAAGAGGGGGCAGGCGGCTGGCACAAGGCCGGGCAGCCCCAAAGGCACATTGTAAGGGAAGGGAGGCTCAGATGGAGGGCCCATTGGGCGCAGGGTGCCCAAGTCGCGGGACCCCCGAGGAGGGCAGCTGAGCCAGCTGCTCTGGGCTGGCCAGGGCGCGCAGCAGCCCATTCTCCTGCTCCAGCGCGGCGTTCCGCTCCGCCAGGTCCCGGATCTGCTCCTTCAGCACCTCCACCTCCTCCCGGACCGCAAACATGAGGTGGGACTTCACCAAGTCCTGGGGACCCCGGGACAGGCATGGGGTCAACGGGTGGGTGACTCATCCCCTGCCCAGTGCCTCAAGGGCCAGGGTGGGAGAGAGTCCCCAGTGCCCAGAGGATGAGGGACAAAGTAGTGAAGGGACAGGGGACAAGGACAAGGGATGGAGGCAGAGTCAGGGCTCAAAGATAGAGATGGGGACCAGCAGCCTGACCAGAGGCTGGGCAAAGTCAAGGGTGGAGGTGGCAGCAGGAGACGGTGGAGGATGCCCAGAGCCCGGCAGGGAAAGGGATGGAGGAGCTGGGGGTTCCTGCTCCCTGGTGAGGAAGAGAAAAGGGCCGGGGCAGGCGGACGGCTTAAGGGGGCCGGGACCTCCTGGGACCAAGATGGCTTCTCTTACCATGGCTTGCTCGATTTTGTTGTCAATGCCAACCAGGCTTCCGGAGCCACTGGAGAGACACAGGAAGGTGAGGGGAGGAGAGGAGGAGAGGAGGAGCCTTCCCAGGTGCTGGCTTCTTGGACCACAGCCTCCCGCCCACACCCCCCTGTACCTGTGACAGTAGAGAATGAGGGAGAGGAGGGTTTTGTCCATCCCCCTGCGGGCCGAGGGCCGCTGCCCAGGGCCCCCCAGGCCCCGGTGCGGCGGAGGCCCAGATGTCCCTCGGATGGGAGACGCACCCCGGGGAGAGCAAGGGGAAGAGGCACAGCCCCTTTTTCGGGGCGGCCCTGGAGCCATCCCCACCACTCGGGTCTCATAAGATGACACCAGGGACTTGACAGAGACCCCTGGCTGGGCCATGCCCAAGGGAAAAGCGTCCTTGGACACCCACCCCCAACAGAGAGGGATTCAGTGAAGGGAATGCCTGGGGGGCTCAGAGCCCCCCGGGCAGAGCGGGATCTAGCTGGTGCCAGGCGGGCAGAGAGGAGACAGTGCCTCAGGGGTGCTGTCCAGAAAGATATACACCACCCCCCCAGGGCAAGGCCTGGCTGCTATTGGCTCCTTGGGGACACGGGGAACCCCCTCCCTTCGGCTCCTCAGTGGGCGGGAATTCCCAGACACGGTCAGTGCCAGTGTCCCCTTCTCATCCTGGCACCGATCCCAGAGTAGAGAGGAGGGGGCCGGCTGAGGAAGTCAGCTGGTGGCCAGGCTGGGGAGGGGCTTGGGGCAGAAGCCTGGGTCTGAAAGGGGAGTGAAGGGTGTGACGGGTGAGGAAGGGCCTGGCCCTTGGAGGCCCCTCTCCACCTCTGACCCCATCCTGTCCCCTCTGTCCCTCAAGGCCTCAGGAAAGAGGGTGGAGGTGGCTGGGGTGGGGGGCGTTCTGATGTGCTCATGGTCTTCTATAGATTGTGAGCACCCTCCTACCAAAAAACACCAGAGGGCTCACATCACCCCTGGGACCTGGCCAGAAGGTCCTTGACTTCCCACAGAGAATACAAAAAATGGGAAAGGTTACCATGGCAACAGAAACTGAGCCCAGAGCCCTCTAAGACAAATACAGCCTAAAGGCTGGGCACAGTGGCTCATGTCTGTAATCTCAGTATTTTGGGAGACCAATTTGGGCAGATCACTTGAGGTCAGAAGTTGGAGACCAGCCTGGCCAACATGGTGAAACCCCATCTCTACTAAAAATACAAAAATCAGCCGGGCATGGTGGAGGGCACCAGTAATCCCAGCTACTGGGGAGACTGAGGCAGGAGAATCGCTTGAACCCAGGAAGTGGAGGTTACAGTGAGCCA